GGTGTGCAGGGGGCAGCCGATCCACGATCCTCTCTTATCCTTGATGTCTCTCCCCCTCCCTCTCCCTTCCTCTCTGAGATCAATAACAATATATTTAAAAACAAACAAACAAGAACTCCGGGCTGCAGTGCATTTGGCCTTTGTGACCTTTAACCCCGAGGCTTTCGGCCCAGAGGGGCCGCCCCTGCACTTTAAGGTCCTGGGGGACAGGGGGCTGCGAGAATGTGCTGCCTGTCATTCATCAGCGCCATCCCCTTAATAGCCCCGCTGACAGGCCCCCCCGCAATGGAGAGGGTCAGGGGGGCCCCTCCACACCTGTGAGCAGGTGAGCAGCTCCTCACGGGGCCTGGGGGGCTGCTGCAGCCACCAGGCGCGTCACAGAGCGGCACGCGTAGCACGGCCCCTCCGTTCACCGGGAGTAGCAGAGTAACAGCAAACGGGGTACTTTGGTGTCAAACCTTTAGTTTTGCCGAAGTGCCTGCTAGCCTGTTGCCTGTTGCCTGTCTTAGTTCAGGGGTGGGGAACCTCTGGCCCACGGGCCGTGGGAGGTCCGAGAAACCACCTGGTCCCGGCAGGAAAAAGCTCCCCACAGGACACAGGGCGCTTCAGCGGATAGCGGTGCCACACGCCGCTGGGCACGCCCGACGGAGCCACACGCGGGTGCTTTTGGGTCCCCCTCCGCGGGTTTGGACGCGGGGAGCCGGTGAGTCAAGGCGGCTACGGTGCCGGGCTGATGTGAAGGATGACGCGGCGAGGTCGCTCTTTTTCTGATGAAAACAGCACAGGTCTGCCCAGGGGGCTGTGGGCGAGGCAAGTGCATCGCGGGGGGCGGGGGGCACGGGGGCGCCCAGCCTGTCGCTCGGGGCGTTCCGTTGATTCTCAGGCCGGGATCCCGCCCTCATTCACGTGTCTTGACCTTGGATGTAACGTCCGGGTCAGTGGGCCCGATACCGGGAAGGCAGGTCCGCCTCCGTGCTCCCCGCGTGTCCGGAGGTCCTCCTCCTCCCAGCCGGCTGTTGTTGCCGATGAACGCTGAGGGAGCGGTGCCCGATCTCTGAGGACGGTGTTAGGGCTGGAGTTCCTCAGCCCATACGATTGAAACTGGTCCCCCCTGCGCCTCTCCCGCCCCCCGCCTTCTCGGCTGCCTGCCTGGCGGTCTCCCCCCGCCCGGGGAGGAAGGCCCCTGAAGGTGCCCGGCTGACAGAGGGGACGATGGGGAGTGGGTAATCGCTCTCCCTGGTGATCGGTACTGGACATCACGGACGATGTACTTCCTTGTCAGAGCAATTAGAAGTCGGGGGAGGGACCGGTCGATGCCTTAAACCCACCCGGGAGGGGCGTGGGCCACTTCAGAGGCAGAAATCCAGGCACAGGCATGTTAACGGCGTCCGAGTGGCTTAATTGAAAATAGATTGTCTGCACCCGAGGGACGGGTCACGTGGGGCCGGCCCCTGCATTGCCTCGCGGATCCGTGTGTGTGTGATCCGTGTGTGACCCGTGTATGTGTGATCTGTGTGAGTGTGTGGTCCATGTTACTGTGTGTGATCTGTGTATGTGTGATCTGTGTGTGTGATCCGTGTGAGTGTGTGTGATCCGTGTGTGACCCGTGTATGTGTGATCTGTGTGAGTGTGTGATCCATGTTAGTGTGTATGATCTGTGTATGTGTGATCTCTGTGTGTGATCCGTGTGAGTGTGTGACCCGTGTGTGATCTGTGTATGTGTGATCAGTGTGAGTGTGTGATCCATGCATGTGTGACCCGTGTGATCCATGTTAGTGTGTGTGATCTGTGTATGTGTGATCTTTGTGTGTGTGATCCGTGTGTGTGATCCGTGTGAGTGTGTGATCCGTGTGTGATCTGTGTGTGTGTGTGTGTGTGTGTGTGTGTGTAGAGCTGCATCCCATAAACACAGGTGCAGCTGCCATTATCTTCTGTGACCCCCCGTGACCCCCTCTCCTGCGGGCTGGCGTGTCACCTGGAGTCACTATCGTCCGTGGGAACCCTGGCGAAGGGACGGTCACAGGTTTGCCAGGTAAAACCTAGAATTTGAGGGACAAAGGGGACTCCTCTTCCGCTGTAATGCGCACGTCGGCCACTGGAGGGCAGCGTCTCACAGGAATCCGGCCAGAGTGGCTTTCCCGGGCCCTGGCTCAAGTCCCAAGGTCACAATGAACTAAAGCAGCGGTTCTCAACCTTCTGGCCCTTTGGATACAGCTCCTCATGTTGCGACCCCCAACCATACAATCATTTCCGTGGCGACTTCATCACTGTCATGTGGCTACTGTGATGAATCGTCATGGAAATATCTGATCTGCAGGATGGTCTGAGGCGACCCCTGTGAGAGGGTCGTCCGACTGCCAGAGGGGTCGCGACCCACAGGTTGAGAACCGATGCAAACTCTCTGGAAACGTTCTCTGGTGACATTTTACATCCACCCCCCCTCCCCGGGGGCGGGGGGCCACAGGAACAATGCAGTTACTGATGATGTATTCCATGATGCGTGTGCACCCACGCAACTCCGGGTTCTGAGTCATCGGGCCCTTGGAGTGGCTTCCTGGCTCCCCCGTGCACACGGGTCCCGTTGGAGGCTGCGGATGTAAATTCTCATTTTTCTCCTGGTTTGTGTTGGGGGGCGGAGGCGGGAGCTGGGGGGAGACATTCATATGGAGGCGTCCTGAGTCATGGAGAGCCAGCGGGGCATTTCTGGTGTTTCTCAGAAGCCTGTCCGGCCTGGCCTGGAAGCCGGGTCTTGCTTTGCTTGTTTAGTTTAATTCGTGTCTAAATGGCTTTTCCAGGGAACTAAGGGTCGAGTGGGAATTCCTTAGACGGGGACGCGGCTGCCGTGGAAGAAAACATCACTGTCCGGCCGGCGTGGCTCTGCGATTGAGCGTCGTCGACCTAGGAACCAGGAGGTCAGGGCACAGGCCCGGGTTGCAGGCTCATGAGAAACGCCAGAAATTCAACCTGGTTCCTAGGTCGACGCTCAACCACTGAGCCACGCCGGCTGGACGCCTTCTCCACGCCCTCGGTAGGTTTCAGAAAACTCACCGGAGGGAATGCCTGTGCCCTGACCAGGAATCGAACCCAGGACCCTTCAGTTCACAGGCTGACGCTCTATCCACTGAGCCAAGCCAGCCAGGGCCCGACTGCGGGCGTCTTAATACGTGGTCTTCAAGTCGGGGCGGGGACGCACAGCGGGCGTTTAGCAGCTGTTTCGCAGATATGAGCAAAACTGGGGCATGGAAACATTTTCCGAGAAACGCTTGTCAGTTGAGTTATTAAAACAGGACTTTACTGGCCCTGGCTGGGTATCCCAGTGGTTAGGGGATCGTCTCACTACACTGAGGTTGTGGGTTTGATCCCTGGTCAGGGCACATACAAGAAGCAACCAATGAATGCGTGAGTACGTGGAACAACACGTTCATGTTTCTCTCAAATCAATCAATCAATCAATCAATCAATAAGAATAGGTCTTGACTAAAGGCACTCACGCCTCCAGGCTCCTCACAGGGAACCAGCCCGTAACTTTTCCGAGAGACGTTGTAAAACCCACACATGCCCCCCCTCCCCCACCCCCTTCCTTCAAACAGCATCCCAGAAACGTATTGCCCGTGGGAGAAAGTTAATTTCTAAAATGTACATTTTTCATCTCCCCCGCGTCCGTTCACCGTTTCCCTCTGGTTTTCAAGGTAAAAATGCAGATTCCGGCCCCCTCCCGCTTTCGTCTT